GCATGCTTTATATATAAAATCTATTCTCACAATGCACCTAAAAATTAATGCATTCAATACCAAAGACTCTGTTCTGATCAATGAAATGAACTAAGTGGAATAAACCTTTATCACCTTAAATCTATAAATCAAAGCACTTTGATTCATGACTGTTTGTGTTGCATCATGATGTGTGTTTTGTGAGTGGAGTCACGTTCAGTGTTCTTGATGAGTGAGCTGAAACAAACGTTTGGAAAGCTGGGATTTGGATTTTGGAAACAGTCCATAAATTAGTAGAGAGATTTCATAAACTCAGACAGGCTCCTGAAAAAATTGTACGCACAATTGAACAGGTTATGCTTTTTATATACACTACTGTGATTGCCAAGAAAAAATTATTTTGTACTTGACAATGATAAATTACATTTAGTCTGATTAGTATGGCGCAAGCTGAATATTGTGTCCATGTATGGGACAGTGTGACTGCAGAATCGACTGGGCTTTGAGATTCATTTCAGACTTAAAGCAGCACTATGTAACTTTTTCTGTGTTCAGAATTGGCAAAATGTATATAATGAGCGAGTACATCATGAATTCATCTTCCAAACCGCGTTTTTGTCTTATTCCGAATCACTACGGTACACTTATAATAAGTACTTATATTTGGACTAGTGTAGCCTGGTCGGGTCGTCACCGCTGCGGAGTAACACATACCTGCGTGAATCGCCATAGACATAAACTTAGAGAAGTAGCTCCGGTTGGAATGTTCTTCCGCGAGATGTGTGCAGTTCTGTTTATTAACCGCTAGAGTTACATCGTGCTGCTTTAATTTGATTTTAAATGGATTCAAAGACAAACAAACAAGCAAACAATAAATAAATAAAGTTGGGGTTTTATGGCGTTCTGAGTGGTTGCTATGCAGTTGCTAAGTCGCCTTTTCATGTCTATTCTTGTCATTTAATTTTTTTTTGAAAAACTGAGTCCTGGTGTCCTCTACAGAGGACATAGCATAAATAAAATATAATTAAAAAAAAATGTTATTTTACCATTTTTTTCTTATGCTCTAAACAATGTAATGACATGAAAAAATACTAGATTCACAAAGCTTTTTATTTCTGGTTCTCAGGAGGATATTGTGAAATACGACATTAAAGAGTGTATAAATTAAATCATGATCTGTGGTTTTTTTTTTAGTGAGCAGTCAATTTGTTAAAACTTACTTGTTTGATAAGAAATATATACGAATATGAATAAGACATATGATAAGAAACCAAGGTTTCCTTGATTATCCAGACGTTCAAATGTGAGTCTCAAATATGATCATCGGGATTTTGAGGAATGTTTATTTGTTCACCTCTCAGTCATCATTGTATTGCATTGCATTGCATGTTTTGCCTACTTTGGGGGAACTTGCTTGATGAGAAATATACTGTTTTAATAAATTAACATTAATGAAAAAATACAAAACAGAATTGTATTGATTGTTGTTGTTTTCTTGATATTGTCAGTAATGTTTATTTAACATGAGGATTTGTCTTCCTCATTTCAGAAACACCAGTGCACACCACTGGTCTCTAGATATGGCTCAGGTCTCTGTGCGTGACATTTTCTCATGTTCATAGCACAAACTTAAATAGCAAATTACCTGTCAGAGTTTAACACTTAAGGATTTGTTGAAGTCACTGACTCTAGTTCAAGCACTAGAAATACTGCTGCTTCTCTAACAGCACTAGCAGCATTTGAGTCAGTTGTGAGCAGCGTGCTGGATGAAGTTGTGTCCTCACCTGCTCCTCACTGTCAGCACCTGTTTATAACATGATTCAGTGGAGCACACGGCCTCAATGGTGTCATTTTTAGGGCAGAACAACTTCTAACCATTTACATTATGTACTGTTGAAGAATCTGGCTTCACAGTGAGGTGAAAATAATCTAATTTCTGTCTAAAAATAAAAGTTCTTCTAACTTGCACATATGTATCCATACAGTATTACACATATACTGTATACTGACTTACACATATATTTACATGCTATTTACTTCTGGTATTTGTTGTTATGATTTTAATGTTTTTATAAGTTTGACTTATAATTGTATAAGTTTCTGTAGGCCCATGTTAATTTATACTTTAAACATGTTTCTAACACAAGTTACTTACTTGTACTTACTTCAAGTATTTGTTCAAAACTTGTAAAAATGTTGTCCCAACTTTCTAAAATGAGTCATCTGACCAATAAATTTTAGCGTGAAAAATTATGCAGTAACTATTAATAAAAAATGATAATTACGTTACATTTTAATTTACATTTTGTATTATCATATTACTTTAATGGCTGTCTCCTTCAACCCTTAAAGTCTATGTCGCTGCGATTGCTGCTAACCATGACACGGTGGAACGACAACAGTGACTGGTCTTCTTGTTGCGAGCCCCGACCTACACCAAAAGGACACTGGAAGGGGCAGCATCCATGGCGCTTTGGTAGGGATCCCAATTCGTCGGTCACCAACGTGACGTCGAGGGTGACCGACTGAAAGGGAACGTCTCGGTTACGTATGCAACCCTCGTTCCCTGAAGGAGGGAACGGAGACGTCACGTCCCGTCGCCACGGCTGCTGTACCACCACTGAGCGGCTTTAACAGTCATTATCAATTCTTTTTTCTTCTCTTCTCTTTCATATGTTCAGATGACACTGGATGTAGTGTTGATACAGTATGTGTAATGTATGCAAAGTTGTTATTCATTAATGTCAACTCTGAATTGTTTGCAATAAAAAAAAAATAAAAAATAAAAAATAAAAAAAAACACCACTGAGCGGCCGGATCACCGGCTCGGCTCCTCAACGAAAACCTGTTATGCATTGCACCAGCTGCCTTTTATGCTCACGCTGTGATCAGCGGCAGCTGGATGCAATCATCGCATGCCAATGTGCATTGGCTCGTTTAGTTTACACTCGAAGTGGATTGGTTTCTCTAGGTGAAATCCCAATTCGTCAGTCACCGACGTGACGTCTCCATTCCCTCCTTCAGGAAATGAGGGTTACATACATAACCGAGACGTTTCCTGTTTCCTCTGCCAGTGCCATCACGCCCCTCAAGGTTAAATGTCACTGACAATTGGTTACTTTTACATCACATCAGTAAATAATATACCTATTTCACAAGGGCGGTTTACGGGGTCCTGAAGCATGCAACATGGTGCATGCTTGGCATTTTATATTTGATGAAGAAGCTCTGGACTTTTGGTCCTGCAATACACAGCATAAAGACAGTGTTCACCCATTCAGACGGGAAACACCAAAGACGTTTCAAAACGCTAGTCAGTCTATACAAAGCAATGGCTCTCTCTAGTGGACAATGGAGTTAAATTATTTATATATTTCGATTGTTTGTGGTGTTTGCTAAAGATTGCACACAGATAAATTAATAATATAAAATAACCAATTTAAAAATTAGGTTCTTATTAATTATTCTTTTTCTCTTAAGTTAGAAAATAAGAAGAAATAGCAGTTATAAATGTATTTTATTCTTAAGAATGTTGGGGCTGGATTGACGCAAATCTTCTTGAGAAAGAAGTTAAATAATTGCTGCAAGTAGTTGTAAAAATGTGCACTTCTTGAAAACTTCTTAAGAGGTTCTCAACTATTTTCCTAAAACTTATAATAATCTTGAGGTATTAATTTACATAGCCATTATAAATTAATTTTATTCTTAAGAATGTTGGGGCTGGATTCACAAAAATAGTCTAAAGAAAGAAGCTAAGAAATTGTTTAAGATGGGGGAGGGGTGGGGGGTCAATTGCTACATTTCATTTTCATATGTCATACTATCATATCTCTGACTGTCATTGTTAAGTGTTATATTAGGTCAGATTTGTTACTGTCAATAGTTAAATCAAGTTCAGATTGTTTTATTGTGTTCAAAAAAGCAAAATAAAAAAAATAAAAAAGATGAATTCCAAGAAGTTTGTAAAACTGTGCAAGTCTTGATAAAGTTTTAAAATATGTCCTTAAAAACATAAGAAGAATCTTGAGATATTATTTCACCTTTTAAAACCAATGTCACACACAGATAAATTAATAATAAAATAAGTTAACACTAACACTAATATTTAATAATGTTTAATTTAATAATTAATTTGTAAAAATCTGAGTGAAATACCCTTTATCTGATCATGTGAAGTAATAGTTTTCACATTTAGTTTACCATTTTTTTTTTTATATTTAAAGCACTTTATGAGGGTCAGAGTCAGAGTATGCTATGTACAGTATATATTATCATATACTTATATATAGTTCTGATTTATATTCAGTAAGAAATAATAATCCTTTATCAGATTTATCAAGTGATTTACAATATGACAACAGCCTGAAGCTATTGGCACAAACACACACACAACGGAATTTTGTACTGCATAGTGCATACTCCAACTTGTGTTAAGAATAATTTGCATATAAGCTCCTGTACCCTCAGTTCACCCCCTCCACACACACACACACACACACACACACTTACTCACATGTTACTGTCATGTACACCCATACTATATGGAGATTATATTGCATGTTTTGCACTTTGTCATCTAGTTTTCTAATTTCCCCTAAGGCATCAAATTACACCATTTACAGCATGTCAACTCATGAGTCAGACGGATAGAGTCTAACCAAGAACTGAGAAAGTATTTATTTTAACCTACTCTGTAATTCAGAATGAAACCAACAACATAACAAAGAAAAGGTTCTGGTTCATTTGTAGGTCAAATACTGTCGTTCCAGTGAATCCCAAATAAGGGATCGAAAAGGAAACAAAAAAAACATTCTTTGGAATCTTTGAAGTCAATCTTTCCAAGGAAGGACAAAAACAGTGCAAACATGCGCTCACAGAGATTCATTCAGCCATTCTTTGGAAACCTGGTATAACTCGTTTTTTTTTTTACTAAGTGACATCACAACTCAGTAGTATTTGAATCTCTCCTCCACACTTCAGTGAACAGAAAAGCAAGTTATCACCAGCTGAAACACCACAAAATGGCAACTCAGCCGTCTCACTTTGAGGAGAACCTTCTGTGCCCTGTTTGCCGTGACATCTTCAGAGATCCCGTTCTCCTGCTGTGTTCTCATAGCTTTTGCTGGGTCTGTCTGGATCAGTACTGGGAGCTCAGCGGATCACAGATGTGCCCTGTATGCCGGACAGACTTTTGCATGGACCGTCCTCCATGCAACCGTGCTTTGAAGGACCTGTGTGAGATCTTCCTTCAGGAGAGAAAAAATTCGATGTCAGTAGAGGCCGAGTTATTCTGCAGTGTTCATGGAGAGAAACTTAAGCTCTTCTGCGAGGAAGACGAGCATCTCGTGTGCAGTGTGTGTGTGAACGATGATATTCATGTCAAACACACATGCAGACCTGTGGATGAAGCTGCAGTTGCTCTCAAGGTACAGTTCACATTATCTGTGAGATCCAGTAGCTTTTAGAGAAAAATATTACTTTACTTAAACTTTTTAGTTTTAATAGTTTTAATTTAAGAGAATTTAAAGAGAACTTAATTCTACTTCACTGTATTTTAACTTACAGATATTAATAATCAGATCAAAACTTCACATATCAATTAAAAAAACAGAGATTTTGTACTTCATTTTATTGTCGTTAAGCATCTAAGAATAGTGCAAATTCTTCGAAAAAAGTTAGAATTTTGAGTAAGGCCTGAATAAATAGTTTTTCCATGTGGAATGTAGGTATATATAACAATATAAATATTTAGACAGTCTGACATTGGAGTAAGGACTTAAGGAACTGGCCATTTAAAAACCCAATGACTAGATACAATTAGAGATAAGATTAAGAAGCTAAATCAGAGATTATTAACTAAAAGGATTGCCATCTGTGAGTCTCAGAAATCAGGTGTTTTGTGATAGTTTTGTGATGGTTATGATCAGAACTTTTGTTCTGAATTCGTTCTGGAATAGCACAGCAAAGAGCCTGGACGCAAATATGCATAATGCAGAAGAAAAATATATTTTGAGATAAATCAAATAACATTACTCTAACCCATTTTTTACCTTTTCAACTTTCTTTTCAGGAGGTGTTCAAAACAAGCCTGAAGTCTTTGCGAGAGAAGCACAAAGTCTTAAAATCAGAGAAATTCATCTGTAATCAGCGAGTGAAACACATCACGGTAAAATCAACAGTTGAAAAACCTTCATATTTTACAGAATTGAGTAACAATTGCATAACTTTTATCTTTGTACTGTGTTACAGCATCAAGCTGAGCAAACGGAGGCACATATTAAGAAGCAGTTTGAGCAGCTTCATCAGTTTTTGCGTGATGAAGAGGCGGCCAGGATAACTGCTCTGAGGGAGGAAGAGGAGAAGAAGAGGAAGCTGTCAGAGGAGCAGATGATTAGAATTAACAGTGAACTCTCATCTCTGGTAGAAAGAGTGAGGATCACTGAGGAAGAGATAGAGTCCAGCAACATCTCATTCCTGCTGGTACAGCCAATTATTTATCGTACTTTCTAACCAGGATCCAAAAGAATTTTTAATATTGTTTTTATTATATAATTGTTATATATTTGAATATTTAAACATTTATTTTTTTATTTTCGAAATATTTATTTGATTAATAGTTATTTGATCAAAAGTAAAATAAAAAAAAATATTATGACATATTATTACAATTTAAAACAACTGTTTTCTTTTTGAATATATTTTAAAATGTAATTTATTCTTGTGATCAAAGCTGTATTTTCAGCATCATTACTCCAGTCTCCAGTGTCACATGATCCTTTAGAGATCATTCTAATGCTAATTCTAATGCTCATTTGCTGCTCAAAAAACATTTCTAAATATTATTATCATTTTGAAAACAAGTATGCTTCTTAACAACTTTTATTTGACATTTTAGATGATTTAGATTTGATTATGAGATTTGTTTTTAATCACAATGTCTCTTTGTCATTTCCATGTAAATCTATCTGAAGAAGTACAAAGGCCCACCTGAAAGGTAAGTGCGATTTCGCTTGTTTGAATCTGTTTTGATTGTGACCCAAAATCGAGCTAACTGATGCATGTTCTTCCAGCACTCAGTGCAACAGTCCCTGTCCAGAGAACCTCCCAAAAGTGCTGATTGATGTGGCAAAGCACCTGGGAAATCTGAAATTCAGCGTATGGCAGAAAATGAAGGCTGCTGCTAAATACAGTGAGTACCTAAAAATTAAGGTTTTTCACTGGCATTGATGGTTCCATGAAGAATCTTTAAATTAAATCTTTCCATTCAACAAAAGGTTCTTTATTGTGGAAAAAGGTTCTTTAGATTTTTTAAATGTCCTTCACACTAAGAAACAAAAAATGATATGGTTATTTTATATGGAAACCATTTTCCGCCATGGTATTAAATAAAATAAATAAATGTAATTGGGACTTTTTTCTTGCGATTATGAGTTTATATCTCAATTTTTTTTTCTCTGAGATTATATCTCATAATTCTGACCTTTTTTCTCTCGGAATTCTGAGTTTACAAAAATAATAATAGATAATTTTTCTGACTTATCTCACAATTGTTTATGTCTCACAATTTTGACTTTTTTTTAGTTTATCTCACAATTCTTGATATTTGATATTTCACAGTTCTAAAAAAAAGTCAGAATTGTGAGATATAAACTCAGAATTGTGAGATAAGTCAGAAAAATTATCTATTATTATTTTATCTCACAATTTTCACCTTTATCAGAATTGTTTACATCTTACATTTCCATCACAGAATAAAAAAGATAATTATGGCTTTTTATCTCATAATTCTGTTTTTCATAATTCCCTCACAGTTTTAAATGTATATATCTCAAACACACACACACACACACACACACACACATATATATATATATATATATATATGTGTGTGTGTGTGTGTGTGTGTGTGTTTGAGATACGTATATGAGCAATATCACATGAGTAGCTGTGCTATATGGCTGTTTATCAGCACGGCTAATCACAGCGTGCCGATATACAGCCGTATCTCACGGCTACGAGTGGGATATTGCATTATACAACGGTTCGACGGCACGAGTGTGTTAATACATAAGAAACAACAACAGAGTGTCTTTAAACCCCTCACAGATTCAAATCTCAGTTTGACAGTATAACAGCTGAGCTCAAGATCTGTTACTAATTCGAAAACGTCACTTTAGAGCTAGTGACAAAGGAACGTTGAGTTGCTTCATTGAAAGCTTGTTGTATTACTGTATTAAAAGCTCACTGTATTATGTAGAGCAGTGATTCTCAAACTTTTTACACCAAGTACCACCTCAGAAAATATTTGGCTCTCCAAGTACCACCATAATGACCAACATTATAATACAGTAGCGTAGTAGGCCTAATTATTCAGCTACAGCTATGTACAGTTCAAAAATGAGGCAGTTTTATTCCTAATAAGAATATCTATTATTGTCTGCCACTTTAAACATTGTAAATGCAGTTTGAACATTAACACTGCACTGTGCTTACATACAGGTAAATAAAAAACTTAAATGATTAAATTAAAACGTACTGTACCTATAAGTTAAATAAAAACTGCACTGTACTTAAAAAGTAAAAAAAAAAACTGTACTGTACTTAAATGTAAAGTAAACAATGTACAGTATCTGACAAAAAAAATGAACACAGGCATCATTTAGCCACCTTGCTAACTTTTTTAAAGTGTTTTAACAGTGTTTCCCAACCAACGGCACAGTTTTGATATGTAAAAAAATCCCACGGCACACCACTTGCTTACAAAAAAAAAAAGGTAGAAAGGGGAAACTTATTTTTTATTATTATTTTTCCAATAATTAATTGCATCATCAGAGCTGGTATTTTGGCTTTATATATGATCAGACACTTGCCATCATAAGAGTTGCTTGGCAATGCTGTCCAAAGTACAAAACCAGCACTCTGATATAGCCTACAGCATTAATATAAAATATAACGTAATGAGACTTTGCTCTCAGCCAAAATGGTTTGCTCTGGAACAAATAATAGATTAATGAGACCTAAGACTACTCGTTAGATTTACCCAAAACAAATTATATCTCATGTTTAACCACTATAGAGAAATCAGAGCCAGCGACAAACTCCAGAAGAACTGGCCGAGGTGAGGCTGCTCTTGGCGGGTACATGAGCGCTGAACGGCCGCTAACGCTCTGCAGCTCACATCTCCGAAAACGTCGAAGCAGATTTTCAAATAGGTTTTCAAAAAGACTTTATTAACAAACCATGTATATTAGGTCTAAACAAGTACATTCTCACCTAAAAAAAAACTCTTAAAACTACACGTAATGAGACTTTGCTCTCAGCCAAAATGGTTTGCTCTGGAACAAATAATAGATTAATGAGACCTAAGACTACTCGTTAGATTTACCCAAAACAAATTATATCTCATGTTTAACCACTATAGAGAAATCAGAGCCAGCGACAAACTCCAGAAGAACTGGCCGAGGTGAGGCTGCTCTTGGCGGGTACATGAGCGCTGAACGGCCGCTAACGCTCTGCAGCTCACATCTCCGAAAACGTCGAAGCAGATTTTCAAATAGGTTTTCAAAAAGACTTTATTAACAAACCATGTATATTAGGTCTAAACAAGTACATTCTCACCTAAAAAAAAACTCTTAAAACTACATTCCGTGACACAAAAACAGTATTATTTATAAAATTATAGTGGATTGGGCATCTGCCATGACACTCGCTGTGAGAAATACCGCAAGCGGAGTGATACAACTGGTGTAACGGTTGGAGTTCCGATATCACTTGAATATCGCACTCCTCTCAGCCAATCAGATTCGAGAACCAG